TGGTGGACAAAAACTTGGAGAGTTGAGTTAAAGGGAGATAACTGACATATTTGGAAGAGGCATGGCATGTGGTACTAGCACAATCTACCCTGGTGGACAAAATAAAGGGTTCAGTTTGAAATTCCAATCACCGGAAAAAGGCCGGAGCATTGTGAACATGGCAATAAAAATAATGTAAATAATGCTGATTCTTAGTGCTCTTCAATAGAATCCTATAATTATTCCAGATTTGATGTTATTACAATTGTGGTAATAGCAATTGATAAGGTCATTATTGTTGGTAGACTTTCTGTAAATCTTAAACTGTTTGTTAGTATTTCTATGCAGTATGATATATACGAAGCGTAACGTGTTGTTAGACTCAGATTCAGTATATTGTGGGTTTGACGTTATTATATTTGTTGACAAGATCAGGTAAAATTGTTTTGTGGATATATTAACAGAGAATCATCTATGTATCTGAAATAAGAGGAATTTTGTAATAAAATCTTTTTGAAAAGACCAAAAAATAGACAAGCCAAAATGGCTTGTCTATTTTTGGAAAGTGGTCCTAACAGGTAACAGGAAATCCCATCAGTAAACCAAATTTTTTCTATAAAAAAATATTGTTAGTAAAGGTAAAAAGACATTGAAAAATCTTGGAACTCAAGATAAATAAAAATTTAAAAATATATAAATAAATTTTATAAAATAATAATAGTAGTAGTATTAGTAATCATATTTATTGCTCAGTTAGTAATTATGAGTTCAATCTCTAGGATAGTATTTATCAATCCACCCACGGGGATCGAATGTGGCACAAGGCCTTTTTAATGTGGGTATGTCCGAGCCCGTAGGCCCAGCCAAAAAAATAAATAACCATCAAACCGCCGAGGCGCCAGTTCAAATCAACCTCCCCAACGAAACCCTACCCTTGCAGAGCTTCGTCGGGTTCCTCTCTGCAAGCAGAGAGTTTGACGAACACCCGACCCGGCAGCTCACAAAGCGCAGATACTACACTTTGATCCTAGCCACCGGGCCGAGCGGGTATTCTTTTTAAGTGTTTACTTGGACTCAGTAAAACAGGTGAGCAATAAGTGAGCAGTACTAAAAATAAGAACTAGACAAGATATCCCTAGCTATGGGCAATGGAACAACAACGGTCTAAACCCATAGATCAGAGGTGTCCAAACTTTTTTCAAACAGGGCCAAATTTGATGAGATGAATATGTGTGATGGCCAACCATTCTGCTTGGCATTCTTTGAACTCTTAACATTAAATTCAAATCAACTATCTTATGAACATTTTATTGCAAATGGCATATTTTTATTTCTTCACATGGATGACAAATAAATTTAAACAGGTCTTACCAAAATGACTCAACCTGTCATATCTGAAGCCAATATAAGATGAAGTAAAATATGTCTGCGAAAAAAGAACTTATTGGAAGCTATAATATATCTCAGGTTAATCTTAAACATTATGTATTGGTAATTAATGTCGTCTGCCACCTTTTAAGTTAAAAACATATGAATAACACCAATATTCATCTTATTAAGAAGTCAAAAAACATAAAATGACACAAGTTCAAGTGTCCAAATAGATTGATAACTGATTTTAAGCAGCACAAAACAAATTTAATTCACTAAGATTTTAGAATTTATTCATCTCAGATGACCAAAACAAATAACTTCCCTGCACTAATATGAAAAGTGATACTGAGATCTGGACTACAGTATGTAGGCCAGGTCTGGTTCAAAGGCAATGATTTTAGAAATTGGCTGAAAAAGGCCATGGTCAGGGTCATATCGCCAGAGGGCAACCACAGTTCTGCTGGTCTCTCTTGGTAAAACATGAAATTGTATTTCTTAGGCATGTACTTTACATATGCTGACTTAAAATACTGGCAGTGATACAGTCTATGACAGAGGATGGGGGCCATATGAAATTTGAATGTGGACAGTAATTGGCACCCCCGGGCCAGACTTTGGACATGCCTGCTGTAGATTAAACAAAGGGTTAATTTCAGAATTCCCTGTTGGTTACCCAGATCAATATACACCTGATGAAGGTGGACAGAGGCCACAAACAACAAAGATGAGGATAATAGTCCAATATATATAGTGTAAATAAGGGATGATGTCATAAATATAAATAAATTGACCTATTCTCGAACACAGTCAATGCAACCAGTGTCACAAAATGAATGAAATAAGCAACTATGGAAGTTCTTTCTATCTGTAGAGAGATGCATGCCTTGCTTCAAGCTGTAGGTCGGACATTAAAAGTTTTCTTGTGTGACTCACTATATGATTTGCAAAATTTGTGAGTAAATAAATATTGATTCAATTATTGTCTCAAAAAATATGAAATACACATTTTTTTTTTTTAAATTTCTTTAAAAAATGCATATATTTTTAAAATATTTAAATGAATTACATAATTACTAATTTTAAAATTTGTTGTGAAATCAAATTCTGGTAATAAATATAATTTTTGGAATTATAAGAATATTTTTGGACAGTTTTATTTGTTCATAGCAATTTTAAACAAACCAGAAAAAGAGGACTTAAATGTGAAAATGATGATAAAGATTTCACAAAATATAGATTGATTACTTTACTACTTATTTTAATTTTTAAAAATATTTTGGGAGGTATTTGACAAAAAAATAAATACTACTATTATTTTTTTAATTTTAAAAAATTCATTTATATATTTTAAAATTTTTAATTATATTGAATTTCAAGATTTTTGCTATACCTGGAGAATAAAATTCAAAATCATCGATTTAAAATGTATAAAATAGTTAATTTTTAAAAAAGTTCGTAAGTCGGGGTCAATTAAAAAATAGCTGAAGTTTTTAAATTATTTAAAATGGTAAACAAGCAATAATTACTTTTGAAAGTCAAATATTTTAATTTTTTTTTTTAAATAACAGAAATGTTTTTGTTTTTAAAAAAACGACCTGAAAGTTCAAAAAATAAAATAATTAATCAACAGTAGAAGTAAAAAAACAATGGCAAGCAAATATTAATTAATTATTTTTTAAATTGTTTTCAGTGAAAATCATTAACAGATGTGAAGAAAATACGAATCCTTACTTTTTTTTTTTCTCAAGTTTGGTTAGAAACCTTTTTTTTTTACAAGAAGAGGAAATCCAATTTACAATCGAAATTCGAAAGCGAAAGAAATGAATCATTTTTTTAAAATTTTTTATTAAAACTTTTAAAAATAAGCATATTTTTTTCCATATTATTTACAAAAACAAACAAAATGTAAAGAATTCTTTTACATTTTTTATCAGTTACCATGGTAGGTAAATAAATTATAAAAATATTAAGTTTTTATTCATTTATTTTGAAGGGGAACAAAAAGAGGAAATAAAAAAGAATTTCTTCCACTTTAAAAAAACGTATTATTTTTTGGGGGTTGTCATTATTATTTAATAATCTTATTTAATTATTAAAATAACTTTAAAATCAAAACTTTCTGTTAATAAATCCATCCTTGAGATAATTTTTTTTTAAATAAAATTTTGAACATTTTTTTGTATTTGATATTTTTTTGTTAGTTGTTAATGAATTAAAATAAAAAGAGACTTTCAATAAATAAACATATTTGTTGTTTTAATTTAAAGTTGCTGATAAATTCAGGATAAGAAGAAAATTATTAAGCAATTTTCTTTTTTTAGATATAACAAAATAATTATTAAGCAATTAATTTAAAAATTGGTTTGCGGTCTTTACCAAAAAAGTTTATTACAAATAAAAATTGATCTTAAAAAAAGTAGTTAAAGTTATGAAACGTTTTTTGCTGAAACAGTCATGCATTTCCATATGTAATAAAATTGCGTGAAAAATTTCAACAAAATATCTTTCTTTCCGAATATGAAGCCAAATATTGTTAACAACCGATTTTAATTATTCGTTGATGTTATTAAAAAGATTTAAAAAAAAAAAAACAAACCATGTGCTATTTTTAGGGATTTGAACGTAGTGCAGCCCAACGAAAAAGAATTATTTCATCATGTTTGATATTTGTAATAAATAAAGCTACTGTTTTTTTTTTAAAGGACATTTAATAAGTGTTTTTTAAAATTAACTGATTAGTAGTGTAAATAAAAAAAAAAAAAAGAATGAAATCCGATAGAAGGATTCGAACCCGGAAACATTTTTTTTATCCTTACTGAAAGCGATCGTCGGTTGAAGGAAAAGGTTTTTCAACCAATCAAATCGCTCAGTTGAGCGTCACATGACCACGACGCATGTTTCGTGGTTTTCGCCTTATACTGCTGCTTATGGCGATTTGGTAATGGGTGAAGGAGACAATGGAAAAAGAGTAGGAGATGAAGCAATGGTGGAGCTTGCTTAGCCCCCTCACTGTTACTGCTTTCTTACTACTACTATCGTCGCCATTGTTAGCTTACGATAGATAGAAAAACTAAAGTGTGAACCATTAGTACTACTAATACTACTACTAACCGCCTTTCTAAGTGGTAGCCATATCGCCCTGCCTGTCTGCTTGCTTGTTGTCTGTGTGCGTGTGTGTATAATATATATATTTATATATATCTGTATATATATCTAGTAATCTTCGTTTTGCCTTTCTGAGCCCCTTTTTATTATATTTAGGTCTTTTTTTTTTTTTTTTTTTTTAAATTATCCATCATGAAGACCGGCACTTACTATTATTATTATTACTACTAATAATAATAATCACTACCTTTCAACTGCCTTCTTCTCATATATACACCTTTTTTTATGTCTATATTACATATATATATGTTCATGCATATTATCAGGTCATCGTTGTTGTCGTCTATATTTATATATATATTTATATATATTTACACGCACTGGCGAAAAAGAAGAAAAAACCTAGACTACTTCTTCTCTCTCGCAATTACAAATATACACACATCAGGCCATACATAAAAAAAGAAGAAAAAAAGAAATCTAACATAGCAGGCGAAGTAATAATGACGATTATACTGTTTTTGGTTGATACTAGTTCCTCTATGAACCAACGAACCTATATTGGAACAACTCTAATAGATGTTGCCAAAGGGGCGGTTGAAACATTTATGAAGGTAAATATTGTGGGATTTTTTTTTTTTGTTACTTTCTATAATATATATATATATATATATATATACACATACCTACACCTTGCATATGATTTACAACACACACCCATATATAATATATAGTCTTTTTAACTTAGTATAAAAATCTACGTAGTAAAAATCAGCTTAGCTGTTTAATCTCTAATTATGACCCAAAGACTCACTAAAATATAGATAGATCTTAAATTTATATTTATTTTTAGTCATATGGGGTACTTGTAAAATCTTTAAGTTCTTAAAGAATCAGGGTTTTTTTAAGGTTTAAAAAAATAATTTTAAGGCCTAATTTTAATTCTTAATTAAAACCATTTTCCTTTTTTTGTAAGTTTATATAAAATTAATTATTTTTTTATTAATTATTTTAAAAAAATTAAGTACTTTCAGAACGATCTTTAAGGTAAGATTTTTAAATAAAATAACGTTTTTTGTTTTAATATTTAAAAAAAAAAAATAGGGGATAAATAGACTCTTTTTTATTTTAAAAACTGTAATTTTAACGAAAGTTGACATTTAAAAGAAATATACATAATAATTATTTATATATAATTTCCATTTCTTTATTTAGATCCGTTCCAGAGATCCCGTTTGCAGGTGGGATAGATACATGTTGTTGACTTTTGAAGATCCTCCAGCAAACGTTAAGGTATTTTTAGTTTCGCTCATTCTTTTTTTTTTTTTTTTTTTTTTTTTCTCTTGGAAACTTTTTCGTAAAAGATTAAAAAAAAAAAAAAAAAAAAATCTTGTTAAAAAAAAAAAACCGCGACCTTTTTTTTTTTTTTGTGCTCTTCGTTTTTTTTTTTTTTTTTCTCCTTTGAATATTAAAAAACGTAACTCCCAAGTGTCGATTTCTTTTTGGTTAATTTGTTGTAATAATGGGGGGGAAAAGATATTCCTCTTTTTGATCCTATTGGTATCAGAGTATTTAAGGACTGTCTGGCATCGGAAGCCGGCCGAAACGTTGCAGAGATGGTGCTGCTCGTGTTCATAGGCCCGCCGCCATGTTTGCTCTGGTCGGGTGGGGCTTGAACGGCGCACGGAATTCTGGGTAATAATGATAATGATGTACAATTTCTCTCCCCCTCCCTCCTTCTCCTTCTTCTTCCTTATAAAACATGTTGATTTTTTTTTAAAAGCTATATAACAATTATTATTATTATTACCTAATCAGTTTTATTTGTTATCGAATAAAAAAAAAAAAAAAAATCCTGTTCTCGCAAAAATTAAAAGCTTAAGAGTAAAACTAATAAATGCCCCTAGAAAAAAAGTTTTTAATTTCTTAAAACTATTTTCCCTAATTAATAATTTTTTCTTTTTTTTTTTTTTTTTTTACTTTTAAATTTAAATATTTATCTTTTTAAAAATAAAGTTTAATGCTCAAACCTGTAGAACGAAAAATTCCAACAAAAGGTTTGGTAGGTAAAATCACCCCCCCCCAAAAAAAAACTATGATAATCATTATTTTTATCGTGTTAAAAATGTTATCCACTCCTTATAAAAAAGGGGGGAAAATTCATTAAAAAAAATTACTTGCTTTTGTTTTTTTTTTTTCATTTCTAAAAATATTTTTATTTATTTTTTGCCCGATTGTCTTTACTTTGATTATTACAAAAAAATAAATAAATAAAAATAATCGTGGTAAAAGTTTCACGACTTTATTCAATGGGGGATGATTGTGTTTCCCCTTCTTACAAAGTTGACCTTTTAAATAATAATAAATGTCTTGAATGAAATTTTCTTTTTATTTTTGAAGTAGGTCGAATCAAGGCGTTAAGGTTGCCCGGAAAGTCCTTATAATTTTTTAAAGTAAAATAAAAATCTACTTCATAAATATTTTTTTCCTTTATTCCAAGGACAGAAGAAGAAACGTGATTTTTTTTATATATATTATAACCGTATAATCCACGTGGAACAAACAATCCAGCACAACAACACTGTGGTTTTGTTGTCAATAACTATGAGGGTGATATGATGCTTTAAATAAAAAAAAGTCTCATTATTTTATCAGAGAGGTAACCCCCCGATCCCCAGGAGAAAAGATAAAAAAAATAAAAATAAATTACATACCTTACCCCACCCTCCCCCACATATTTTTTTTTCTTTTAGCTAAAAAGAAAAGAAAAATTATTGGTACTTATTTTTTTTTTTACTTGTCATATTCTTAAGTTAATAATTGCCATCTGCTCACTAAAATTTACCAATTTAAAAGATGTCCAGAATCATTGCTAGCAAAAACGATATGAGAAAAAATAAACTTTTTTTTTTTTTTTTTTTTTTTAAAACAAAACATTCTTATCTTTATCTGTGCACAAATTAACGATAATTTTAAAATAAACTGTCTTGAGGCGACAAAAGAAAGTGTCAAAAAAAATATAACCGTGTGTCTGAATGCCCCCCTCCAATATTTTCCATTTAAAAATGTCTTTAAAGTTTATTTCGAATTGTTTATATTCTCGAACAAGCTCGTCGGTAACTTAAATGGCCAGTATTTATTTTTAATTTTGTAAATTTATTCATACATTCTTTAAAAATCAATTTCTGAGTGGGGGAAAAATATGAACAAAATCGATTAGTAAAAACTAAAAAGAAAAATAATAATTACAAAAGAAAAGCGACTCATTTGTAGTTCGATCAATAAAAGTAATCGTAATTAGTGATGGGTAACCTATTTTTTTTTTTTTATTTTGATTAAGTTTTTTTTTTCTTTTAATATTGCAAATGTTAATTTTAGACAGTATATATAAATTCAGTTTTTAATGCTACTTTTGCAAGGGATGTTGTTCAGTTATACTTTTTTTTTTATAGCCGTCAGTAAGTTTTTAATACATGGTGCGATGGATAAATTGTCATCTAGATAACTCAAAAATGAAAATAACACTGCCATCTCCTATATATTCACCAAAATTACACAAAAATATATTAAAATAATAAAGACTAAATTTCAATAAAATCGCCATTGGCTTCAACCACGGCCTCCAGACTACTTCAAAATCTCCAGCAACTCTTCTGGACTGTCTCCTTGTTAAAAGTGGTGAATGCTGCCATAATCTTTGTCTTCAGTTCATCTTTGGTTTTTACATGGAGTTTTGTTGGTCTCTTGCTCAACTGCACCCCATACATAACAAAGGGTGTTGCAGTCTGGGGAGTTAAGTGGCCAGATGTAAGAGGTGATGTGGTTGGCGAAATTGTCTGACAGCCATGACTGGGTTCTCCTGCTTGTGTGGCATGGTGCAGTGTCTTGTTGCCAGACATGGCATCTTCCGGCAGCCACCCTCTTGATCCAAGGCAGCACTACCTCCTCAAGTTACTTATTGTAGGTCTCTGTGTTGATTCTAGGGACCTAATGAATGGGTAGATGAATGGGGGCATAATGTTCCCATCACTAGTAATCACTATTAGATTCATCCAAATCATTCCAAATGCTCTGCACTCCCAAACACTTTGAAATATTTGTATTGGAGCCCCTCAATGCCAAGTAGTACAGCATGCCGTTTCCAAATTTCAGGTGGAGTGAATTGCATCATGGTACTCTTTTTCTCAAAGATGGTGTCCAACTGACCCTACTATACTGTGCAGTTAACAAAAACAAGGTTAAAAATCTAAAATGGCGACAGTTTACTCATTGCACCCTGTATTTAGACTACAGTAAATATTAATTGACAAGTAGGGAGGAGTCATTATTTCCACAAGGAATAACCATTATTATAAATTGCATGGTCAGTTACGTTTACCAGGGATTGTAATTAGTGTTAGTCCACTCTTTAAGTACCGCCTCCCTTCGGGACATGGTCATCATGGCTCTTCAAAGCTTTTTTTTTTTTTTCTGTAAAATGTTCATTGTTATTTTTTTTCTCCAAAGGTGGAATGGTTTCTTATTGCTTTCTATAAAAGGGGTTTTGAATTCATTTATCTTTCTAGACCAGATGTCAACCAATGTTAGAGAGTCTAGTCTGCCCTACTACTTTATTTACACCTGGAAGTGTTGGGGGGGGGCTAGACATTCATGCATTTCTCAAAGAATTACTGGTTTGAATTCAGAATTGTCCTCCTAGACTGAGTGTCAATCAAGGTTTAGATAGAGCCTGATCTACCCTGCTATTTTATTTTTGTTAGAAGTCAGATTCATGCCTTTTCCAAGGGTTTTGTCACTTTAAATTGAGTTGCCCTTCTTCTAGACTTCTACAGAGCCCAGTCTACCCTGCTATTTTATTCATATCAAGTGATGGGAAGGTTCATGCCTTTCCAAGGATATCAATGTTTCCTCCTCCTTCTGGACATGTTGGTACCCAATAAGAGCCTAGTCTACCTTCCTATTTAATTCATATCTGAGTAGTTAGGTATTCATAGTTTTCTCAAGACCATTACGGATTTGAATTTGGTGTGGTCCTCATCCAAGGCTAGAGGACCTGGTTTGCTCTGTTATTTTATTCAAATCTGGGTATTTTAATGATTTTAGCCAGAATTTGAACTTTGCTCATTGGGTCCATTTTCTGTATTATTAATCATTAGTTCATTTTCATCTCTATTCTGTTATTCATATTAAATAGTTTAACAGATAGTGTTGTTTTTTTGTGGCTTGTTGTTTTTTTGTGGCTTGTTGTTGCCTTGTTGTTATTGGAATAAACATGCATTCTGTAAGGCATTGTGCAGTTGTTGGTGCATTGTGGCTACTGCAACAACAGTGTGCTCGTTTTGAGCAAGATGGCCTGAGAAGTTCATTCCACTTCAGTTTGGTTTTAAATTATCCTTATAGTTGCCCTATCAAGACAAAAGGGCTTAGTTTACTCTACTACTCTCTGATAAATTCATGCCTTTCTAAATTATTGTATTTGCCAGCTTATTTTGGCATGGAATATTTAAGAGGAAAAAAATGCACACATCACAACCAAAAAAAAAATCAAAATTATAACCTTATCTTTATGTGACCTTCTCACTAACCACGAAGAAACACTTACAGTATTAGTACAAATTATACTACTGGTAATTTTTTTTTCTTTTTTTTAATAGAAGTGAGATAAGATTTAATGAGCAGGGAGTTTTTTTTTGGTGGGGAAGAATAATTTTACTAAATTTCATCATGTATTTATTGAAAATTATTTTAGTTGTTTTTCAGGGAGCAACAGCAGCATATACAGTAGATTCATAATAGCTACAAAGAAATCTACTGGTATCAGTGAACACTGCTACATATGGTAATAGGCAAAAAAAAAAAAAACTTGCTGGCAAATAAAGTCCCATACCATACATGCAGAAAAGTAAAATATTAACAAAAATACACACACAGCAAGCAGCAAAATATACCAGTCTAAGCAAATAAAATCTGGTATTTCTACAAAACAAGCAGCAAAAGCAATGTTCAATTCCATAAATTTCTTTTTCCTGGGTGAATTTTTCAGAGATATTTTTATTAATATCATATTTGTTCACTTCCAGGAGTCCTGGGTTTATAAATAAGTTCTATGTGTTGCACTGATTCTTACTAAACCCTACTTTTTCATGCTCTTTATGTCCCTCTTGTACATGATACTGCAGTATTGGATGCAGGTATTTTTTTTTTAAAAAATCTGTGTCCATGGTAATTCAAACATCCCTGATGAAATTTGAACAAGACACAGTTCTATTTTCTGGTGACAATAGCCATTGTGC